TGAAAAGCAAGAGTTCTCTTGCTCAGTTTTTTCTTTAATCATAGGAAAAAGTTTTTCTGTCTGACGTATTTGAACACTTTTTCTGTCCAATTCATTAGTTTCTTAATTGAGGAGCTTATCCATTACCATCTTTGAATTTCCTGTCTTTGTCAACATACACCGAAACTGTCTCACTGTGGTCTCTTTTGGGTTAGAAAGTCTGTAGCTCTTGCCTTTAATGCCTTTATTATCACCGTTTCCATTCTGTGTCTGCTCTGAGAAGATGCTTATCTTGTTTTTAGTGCAACAAATATCTTCACAGATATTTTAAAGTATATTTTATCATTGCTATGTGACAAGGGAGAGAGAGGGAGGAGGAAAGGAAGACTTGTACGTTTTTTAAAAGATTCAGCCTGTCTGGACTTCTCTTCTAGGTTTTAAACACTGTTTTGAATCTATTTCATTTCTTATTCTTAATGATCATGTAAACATATACTGGGGTTTTATCTTCTACTTTTCACTCATGCTTCCTAGAGACATTTTTTTCCCCCTAGAATGGCTTTTCCTTTACTCTGAAATGTAGTTTTTAAAGTTCCTTAATAAGGATCTGTTTGCAGGAAATGTTATCTAGAATGGCTTTTATTTATTTATTACCATTTATTATAGAAGTGGTAGTAATGAGAATATCAGTCAGTGTCCAGTTAGGAAAACAGGAGCCACTCTTGTTATTTGAACAGATTTATTAATAGAAGAAATTGTTTTTCAAGATTATCAGTTACAATTCTTTTAATTTTTTTATTTTTAATGTTTTTGTTGTAAAAATACTGTACAGAGGGGTTACAGGTACCTGAGCTCAGTTACATTATCATTATATATTTTATGAAACCAGCTAAAACAAAGCCAAATACTAAGATGGTGAAGTAATCCAAAGAAGAGCAACAGAAGAGCTCTCCATCAGCCCCAGGAAAAAAGGGAAGAGGCAGAGCTCATGGTCCAGAGTCACACAAGGAAGGGACTAAAGTCTTAGGCCCATTGTGAATCAATCTCCCCAAACTGGAAAAAGTACCTGCAGCAGATGGCATCTCAGCAAAGCTTGGTAGATGGGCACTACAGCCAAGCAATGCTGAGAAGCAGTCTACCCTGGCTGGATTATCTCCCACAGGGCATCATGACTCAATGGGAAGCTTGAAGGGGATTCTGGGTACATGGATGAGGGGAACACAGCCTGGTGGTCTGAGGTAGCTCCGCACTAACTTGAAATGTCTCGAGCAGGGACAGAAACATGTCTTTTTTTTTTTTTTGGCAGTTCTACCACATATCAAATGTATTTTGAGAGTTTCATGCAGGAAAGGATAAAGGAGAAGGAGAAATGAGTCAGTCCAAAGGCAGGCATTCAGGCCTGATATGGTCACTCTTTAGGTTCTGAAACAATGTACTTGTGAGATGAAAATCTGTTTAAACCTTTGTATTCTTTGGATTGTGAGACTACTTCTACTCCAGTCTTTCAAATTACAGGTTTTCCCCTAAAGTGACTTTAAGTGTGGGAGGCAAAACATCATCTGCCTCCCTCCTCTAAGATGTCCATGTTCAGTTCTTCAGATCCTGTGGATATGTTAAGTTAAAGGTAAAGAAGTAAGGTATCAGATGGAGCTACAGCTGCTCATCAACTGATCTTAAGAAAGTCTTGATTGTCCAGGTGGGCCTAATTTAATCACAAGGGTCTTTAAACACAGGAGGAATAATTGATAAAGCATGAGGACTTAGCACAATGTTGTTGGCTTTGAAAATGGTGACATGGCATTATAGGTGAAGAAGAAAAGTTGATCCCTTGAAGATGGAAAAGTCTCCTCTACAGACTCCAGACAAGACTCATTTTAACCCAGTGAAACTCATTTTGAATGGTAGACCTGTGATGCTGTAAGATGATGATTCATTGTAGTTTAAACCACTTAGGGCAGTAATAAAAACTTAATACCTTAGCTGTTTACTGTGAGCATACTAACCCCTGAAAAATCAGAAGACAACTGTCGATGTCTTATTCCCATTCCCACTACCTTTTGGACAGTTCACTGCTAGCATCACATTAACCAACAGGTGCACAGACAACCATGCTGTGCTTGCTTTTTGGTTGTGTATTAGTTTGAAAGGACAGCTTGATGGAAGTTTTTCCAGTAGTTAGTAGTAATTTGAGTAAATCATGATTTCTCCAACTGTCACTGTCAGTAGCTACCACTTCCTGCTTCCATTGCATGAAAGAATGGAAACAAGATAGCAGATACATTTGAGATATTTTGACCACACTGATACACACACACACACACACACACACACACACACACACACACACACACACACACACACACACACAGAGTCTGTTCAGTTTTGTCCAAAGGAAAAGCATGTTAAAGGAGATCAGTATAAGCCTTTCACTGTAGGAATGCGTAGTCCTATGGGTGTTAGTTTACTAAAACCAAACACAGACAAAACATCCATAGGGCATAACAACAAAGTAAACAGAAAGCACAACAAACAATATGGCTTTAGAAGCAATCTCTCTTTTTTCTCTCACAGTTCTGAGGCTGGATAGTTCAGGATTAAGATCTTTGCATAGCTGGTTTCTTCTGACAGCTTTTTTCTTGGCTTACTGAGGGCCATCTTCCCCATGACGTCAGATGGTCTTCTTATATCCTAATAAAAAAACTAATCATATTGGAATTTGACATCATCCACACTTTTAATTTACTTACCTCCCTAAAGCTTTTCCTCCAATTACCATTAAATTCAGAGGCACTGGGGAATACTATGTCAATATGATTTTTTAAAAAAAAATTGCAATACTAGGGTTTGCAGTCAGGGCCCCTAGCTTGCTAGGCCTCTGACACTTGAGCCACACTCTCTGCACATTTGGTTTTGCTATTTTCAGTGATGTCCTATGTTTTGTCCAGCTGACCTGGACTGTGATTCTTCTAGATATGTCTCTTACAAAGCTGAGATGACAGGCATGAACCACGAGGCCTAGCTTTTCCTTTTTCTGTTGTTGACATGAGGTTTCACTTTTATTCATTTATTTTTTTGCCCAGGCTGGCCTTGAACTACACTCTTCCTAATCTTTGCCTCCCATACGGTTGGGATTACAAGCATGGCTCACATCTGGCCCGCAACATACGAATTTTATTCATAACAAAATCTACTTAGCTTCTAACAATGGGCACAATGGCCAATGAATAAGCAGAGGAAAATAAAACCAGTAGAAAGGCTAAAATGTAAATAAGTATTTAACTTCACATCCAATATTTGTGCACAAGGAAAAACTCATTATTAAATGAATTTCAAATGATAATAAATATAGAGTAAAGGCATGCTCGTATTTTTGTCATTGATTTTATAAGGCAATGAGAAATTGGAATTTATATTAAGGTTCGATAAGGCTAGAATAAAGCAAGTGCTGGTATACAAATAGTAAGCATCACCTTACAAAACTGCACCCATATTTATGTTTACAGTAATGATCAAACAAAATGGTAAGCTATTACAATCATTATGTAAAAATAATTACTTCTTGATGTAAAGGACTATAGAAATACACACCCATCAACCTGACCATAATGAGAAGAGGTAATGGGCAGTTCAGAGGTGCTCCTGAAGGAAAACAGCACAGATTAACAGTTGTTACAAAAGAAGGGTGAGGGCTCGTGAGGGAGGCATCAATCTCATAAATACATGCAACTATGTGGTAGGAATAATTTAAACTAATATAAAAAATGAGGCTGGAAAAATTCCTTTTAGAAGCCAATGAATGCACCTAGCAGTTTCTCAGTGAAGATATAGGTTGAGTAGATTGGGCAGTTGTCCTGCTGTTACACTGCTTCTCCGACCAATGTACCAACCCAAGTATATACAATTTATAAACATTCATTGTTTAAATCTGGACATAATAGCATCAAATAGAACTCAAGACTCCATTGTTTTATCCTTTGAAGATACTTTAATTTTGCAGTTATTTATTAATTAAAAAACACAGTTGTTTTCAGCATTTCCTAGCTATAGTAGTGCGTAGGAAACTCATTCTAAACAAAGTGATTAATGAAATAGCACACACCTTTATAATTTTACATTAACAGCTTACAGTTTACAAGGTGCTTTCACATACATCATTTGATTCTTACAACAAGCAGAAAAAAGGTAAATCAGTGGGAAAGAAAAATGATTTATTTTCAGGTTTAAAACAAGTATTTTCAGGCCAGTGGGCAGTCAGCACAAGAACATATCAAGAAGACGGTTATACCCATAAGCCACAGTATCATTTTTGGTAGGTTGACAGTTTGATATCAACTGTATATTTAGAAACTGACTGAGTAAGGAATCAAGACAGACAAGGGTTCTCATGGTAATCAAGGATTTGTAAGAACACTACCAGAGATAAGATTCCCCCCAATTTACTACCTTACTGAGGGGTCTTTTAAGCAAGATAGTCCTTCTAAATAGGAGATAAAAACAGAATCTTTCATAACATGTCGAAGTTAGAAAGGACCCTGGCAATATCTAATCCAACTCTTGAATTATGCAGTCTTGACTGTCAGTCTAGGGCTTTTCCCCATACAATACCATCTCTTAAATATTTGCTGTGCCAAAACTAATTTATTCTGTTTCCTTTATTTAAATTTGAGGTTAAATACTGTTGTGTGTGTGTGTTTTTTTGCCACTAATTTCTTATCCAAGTTTTTATCTTGTTCTTGGCTACACTGTGGCTGAAAATGAGAATTTGATATGCTTCTACAATCTAATTTAGTGTACTTGATTAGTCAGAAATAGATTCCTTTGACATAGATGACAGTTTGCTGATGTTCTTAAAATAGAGAGTAAAATGGAATGGCTGAATAGCCCTCAAAACCAAGGTATGCCTAAGGGTGATCTACCTGGGTAGTGTTGATAGTTGGGCATTAGTAATTTCATAGAAAAAAATAATTTTAGAATTCATAGAAACCTTTTCAATTCCCGAAAACTGAATTGTAATAATCAAATTGTCATCCCCATGATTTATTGAAATAATTTTATAGTAATATACAATAAAGCTACCATAGAATTTGTAGCATACATAGAGCATACAAGGATCAGCACATTCTTGGGTTGAAATGAAATACAAAAAATTAAGTTTCTTTATACAAATGTTATTTTAAATTTATTAACATGATGACATGTCTTTGTTACATGAAACTTGCTATAGCGGAGTGTTTCAAATTTTTCTTGCACATTTTAAATATAGGAGGACCAACTGAAATCACTATTAGCCTTTATATGACATTACCATGCAGAAACATTTGACAACCAAAAGACATACAGACTGGAGGAAAGAATAGACAATGATTTCAAGGTGTTATAAAGGGTGGTACAGATGAACAGACAGTGTCAGCGACCTACCTGCACCAATAAGGAAGCAAATAGAATGATTATATACAGTAGGGTCGATTTGACCAGAAACAATTCATCTTGTTTGTATGTAAATTGATCAAAAAATGAATGCAGCTTATTTTAAAGTATTTTGGTGTGTTGCTAAAAGATAGGTCACTGAGACACAGAGATAAAATCAGCTGGGAAAAATTAAAAGCCAAGAAAAAAATAGTAAAAAAAATTTAGTTAAGCATGGAGTCCCAACAAACACTGAACTAAATGTGCAAAAGTGCTTGAAATTTCCGCATGACAGCAACATTGTTAAATCAGTTGGCAAAAATGTATAAAAAAGTAAACTCAAATACTAAAATTGTATCTGCATGATCATACATTCTGTTTACCTAGAGAAAAGAGATTAGAAATTAGGACATACCTAAAAATATCACACCTCAAAATTAAAATACAAATGTGGCAGTTTTATAAACCTTCTCCCCTGTCCTCACTGCTGAGGCGGGGGATAAAAGAAGAAGTTGCAACAGTGCTCCTGATTTAGGCTTATAAATATAATACACCAGAATAACAAGCAGATAGCAACTTCCTTTGTTTATAACTGTTACAAAACAACACAAACAAAATAAACCTCACTTAAATAAGAGTACCTCTATATTGATTGCAAGAACAAGCCATTTGTTTGACTTAGCAAAGTATTTATCAAACCAATGTCTCTTGTAGTTTGCTTCTTTTCCTTTAAAAAATTTACAATGAGTACTATTTGAGAAACTTTAAAATCTATCACTCTTATCCATCATGTTCTATGAAAATACTGGCTAAAACCCCATGAGAAAGTTAAGGTTCAGAAACCTTCACTGTACCTCTCTCCTACCCACAAACATGCTGCTAGCAAGGGAGACAGGCTAGGTGGGGATCCACACCACTCATTGTTCCCAACCAGTGAGACTTTGCTATATGGTCCTGCAATTACTCAAGGGGATGAGGAGTTAAGAAGCCAAACCTTTGGATCTAGAGAATTCTACATTTCTGGGAATAGCAATTTTAACTTGGTCAGATAGAGAATTCCAAAGCAAGTTATTGTCTTAAGTTGAGTAAATTTCCTTGGTGATAAAACATTCTATCTTTGAAAATTATTTAAGAGTTTTGGCAAAACTGAGTCTGAGCGACTCAGTGAAAAATAATTATTAGGTTTATCTTCAAGCCATTGGATAACACAAATATTCCCCCAAACTACTGAAAGCATTTATCCTTCCTTTCAAATATCACAGAGCCATAACACTGCTCATCTAAAACACAACAAAATAAAATGTTCAGAGAAAGAAATGAGGAGAAAGAAATGATGGAGGAGTGGGGAGAAAGACAACTGAAAAAATAGGAAAGTGGTCTGCCTGTGTGGTGGCACAGGCAATGCTCACGGAGAGGTGCCTGGTTACACAGGTGGATGCAGAGTGCACACGGATGATGGCATAAAGACCTCACTCGGTTGCTGGAATGAAGGAACTAGGTAACTGCTTCAACAAGGACGCTCGCAGCTCCACCTGATACCTCAACAGAGTGCAAAGGCTGACTGTGAGCTCTGATGGCGTCTTGTTCCTCTAAAATTCACAAAATTCTTTTGCACATTTTTCTGTAATAGAGACACGAATATCTTCTTCTTCATAGTCGTCAAAGTTGCTGGTATCTCCAGAGCCTCTGAACTTTGGTATGAATGGAGCTTCAACCTGTAATTGACACAGAGAGAAAGTCAAACTTGCTTCCAAATACTAAGAAAGAGAAATGCCCACTGTGACTACATGGTGGCATCTTTAAGTGCCATTAAATCCATAGATATGATACTACTAGAAGAAGAAATACACAGTAGATTTGCAAATAATCTAATATTTTCATTCAGGAACTGCAGCAAGTCAATGAAATATATTAGAAATTTCTAGGATAATTAATGTTTACAGATCTAGTTTATTCCATTCATCTATCTATCCATCATCTATCTTGTGCCAGTACTGGGGTTTGAACTCAGGGCCTGGGCACTGTCCCTCAGCTCTTCAGCTCAAGGCTAGCACTCTACCACTTGAGCCACAGCACCACTTCGGGCTTTTTCTGCTTATGTGTCATTGAGGAATTGAACCCAGGGCCTCATACATGCAAGGCAAGCACTTTACCACTGAGCCACCTTCCCAGACCCTGTCATTTAGCTTTTTAATTCAAGACTGGTGTTCTTCCATTTGAACCACAGCCTCATTTCTGTTTTTTTTTTTTTTTGGGTCCGGTCATGGGGCCTGAACTCTGGGCCTGGGCGTTGTCCCTCAGCTCTTCAGCTCAAGGCTAGTGCTCTACCACTTGAGCCACAGCACCACTTCCAGCTTTTTTCTTTTTGCTTATGTGGTGCTGAGGAATCGAACCCAGGGGCTCATGCATGCAAGGCAAGCACTCTACCACTGAGCCATCTTCCCAGCCCTCATTTCTGTTTTTTTTTGGTGGTTAACTGGAGATAAAGGTCTCATACATTTTACCGCCTGGGTTGGCTTTGAACTTCAACCCTCAGATCTCAGCTTCTTGAGTAGCTAGCATTAGAGGAATGTGTCACTGCCACCTGGCTTTATTAATTCTTTATTAATTATTAATATTCTTTATTAATTATTATTATGGTGCTGTTGTTACTGTAGTACAAAGGTGTAACAATTCCCTGTCAGATTATGAGTACAATGCTTCTTGGTTAAATGGCTAGCCATTCCTTCATTCTCCCTTATTTCCCCCTTTCAGGCCCTCCCCTCAAGCTATGCTATAGCTCGTTTTTTACATAAAGTTAATTGAATAAAATGCCTACATTCAAAACTATTCTTAAAATGGGTACAACTGAACTGCTACTGCTCATTTAGAATTTATATATATTTCCCAGTAGGTTTTGCTTATTCTAGGTAGTAAACTGTTAACCTACCAAGAAATAAAATAATTTTTAAAGTTGCAACTGTATGAGAGAGGGTAATTTAAAACTTTACTGAATGTCAGAAAACATTCAAGGAAATGCAGAAGCATAATATGCTCATTATGGTAAATTCTCAAGACTCAGGCTTTTTCCTAATGTTCAACTTAACTATAACCCTGATTAAAATTCCCCTAAGCAATATAAATCATTGGCAAGTCTAATATTCTAAAAAAGGAAAAATTACATGGGGTAAGGATGATTTTCTAGAAACTATAATGTACTATTATTTATATTTATAAATATTTAATATCTATTAATACTTATATTTATGAAATTGCCTGTACAGTAATGGGAATAATGCAGGGAAAAGACAAAAGAACTAACTCATGTAATATTAAAGCACATTAAAAATTACATAAAATGCCATAATATAAAACAACCAACTAAAAGTATTAAAAATAAAGTCTAGAAACAGATCAAAGTATATAACAATTTAGTATCAGTAAGAGACCAAATAAGAATTATTCACTAAGTTCTGAGGGATAATTGCTAATGATCACTAAAAAAAAAGAAAAAACAAGATAGTTTTTGAAAAAACTCAAACAGATATACCTAGGGTAGAGTAAATTCTTTTAATATGGTTAGGTAACATGGCAGTAAGTCACCTGAATGGAACATCATAGGAAGTAGAAATTGTGCTATATGGGCCTGAAACAGGAAGGAAAGGGGTGTGGAGGAGAGTAACAAGGTTTTCAGCGATTAATGTAGTGATGGAAAGCAGAGGATAATGAATGGAAAGATGTATACTAATGCCTACTACAGTACAGGTCCTATCTGCATGGGAGAACAGTAATGACTCAAAAGTTAAGATACTTAATAAATTAGCTCAGTACATGAAACACAACCAGACACGAAAATTGAGCCTGAACCAATTATCTAATCTTTCTGAACAAAGTATTCTTCCTTTGGCACTCTCTATTTTGATCTAAACTTTAAGGATACAACTGACTTTATAAAGCTTAAATGGTTTGAGATCACACTACAATGGTTTGTTGATCTGAGACTTAGAACACGTCCCCAAATTAATGTACTCTCTTTGCTGCCTTTTGACAGCCTTCCTCCTTCATAAATACTCAAAGCATCAACGTTTAATAGATGATAAATAAAATGTAGGAAACAATGAGTTGGTCTGTGGTTTGCAGATTCATTTGAAGAATAATATTAGGAGGACTTTGAAAGGCAATATGAGCTTGGTGTTGTTTGTCCCTAGGTCAACTGTTATAAGGTAGCTGTCCATTTATGTCAAAATTAACCCATCTGAACTGATTTCCTTATCAGCACAATGGAGAAAATGGTAACCCCTAGTTCATGGGACTGTGCAAATGTCTAGAATGAGATGTTACACTAAGGTCTTAAAATTTAGAAAAAATATAAACACATGGAATGCCTTTTTATGAACTTTAATGACTGTTTTAAGTGATGATATAACTTCTATCCATAACAGACAAGATGAGTTAATATAATAATGGCTGTATCATGACCTTAATAATTTCTGGATCCTTCCTTCATGTTGTTTAGTCTTGTTATATTTTCTGTATCCTACATTTTAAAAACTCTTTTGTTTCTTTGCTTTCATAGGCTTTCCAAATATAAATTAATTTTACTAATAAAAATTACATGTTTTTGGAAGTGGCGCGGTGGCTCAAGTGGTAGAGAGCTAGCCCTGAGCTGAAGAGCTGAGGGACAGCATTCAGGCCCAGAGTTCAAGCCCCGTCACAAAAATAAATAAATAAATAAATAAATAAAAAATAAAAAAATTACATGTTTTCCTTGAAGGAAAATTCACCCTTATGGCTATACAGCATTATGAGGTATTACAAACCTCTAAAACATTAGGAGTTTAGATTTTATTTAAAAAATAGAAAAATAATTTAAATAGATTCAATATAAAAATACTTCAATCAAGTTATTTTTACCTTGGCATTTATGAAGCAAAAGGTAAGATAAAGGTAATTCAGCACAACAAAATGTTTTCCTGTTTCTCAGTTTATTAACAGGTTGAGATAACTATACTTAGCATACTACTTACTACAGCTTTTATAGTGCTAGCTTGGTCAATAAGAAAGAAGGTAGTCTCTCTTAAATACGCTACTGTTCAGTGAGGGGTTCTCCTTGTTTTATTAAGATGGTGTAATAATGCGACTTGTTTTATATTTACATTCAAGCTTTCAAGCTGCATGTCTTTTTTTTTTTTTTTTGTCGGTCGTGGGGCTTGAACTCTGGGCCTGGGCGCTGTCCCTCAGCTCTTCAGCTCAAGGCGAGCGCTCTACCACTTGAGCTACAGCGCCACTTCCAAAGCTGCATGAATTTCTAACATGTAAGAATCCTTGTATCAAGAAAGCAGACAAAGAAAATCTAAAAATCTCAGGTGCAAAGTTACTTCATCTGTATTCCCTTTACAGGGAATTTAGATGACCATCTGATTGATTTCCCCATCTCTGAAACTAGCAGCTTCATGTGGGGAAGAAGGAAGCCAGCTTTCGTTCATTGTAGCATTCTCAGCACAATTCTGACTACCTAGCAAAGACAGGCATTTCCCAGATATTTGAAGAAATACAAGGTAAATAATTACTAAAAGATAAAATGTAATAGTTTCAGATAATTAGGTGTGACTTCTCACAAAGCATTACATTTTCCATTTCTATTACTTATATTCAAATTGACTTACAAATGGATAAAGGAAAAGTTGTAGCTGAACAAAGACAAATAAATGTGCAACAAACTTAGCGAACATGGTGGCTCTCGCCAAGATGATAGAAATATAAAAATGTCCCAATGAAACATTGTTCCCTGATGAAATAAATGACATTGATCAAGATGTCTTGTACTCATAAACTGACATGTTGAATTGAATCCCTTTTGTATAATTACCTAAAGAGAATTTAAAAAACACTTCCTCTTCTTAGTGAAGTATCATAAAATGATAGTATCTAGAATATGAAGAAAGAATATGCCTCCAAGAAAATATTCCAGTAGAGATGCTATTTAAGTTAATTCTGAAAGGATTAATGAGAACACAGCAGATACACAAACTGGAAAACTCATTCACTGAAAGCAAAAGAAAAAAATTCTACTAGGCATGATGTGGGAAAAAGCAGTCTTTGGGATACACTAGATTAAAAAAAAAAACCTGCCTTATTAAATGGCAATTCCTTTGTAGAACTAAAGATAACAAAAACTATGTAGTCAAAGGCTCTAAGAAAAAAAACAATTAGAACCCTGATAAATGCCCACAGAGTGGTCAAAATAAAGGCTAAAAAATGTCTCCAGAAGTCAAATTAAAGTAATTAAAAGTTGTAGCTGGATTTAATTGGTGGGTGCCAATTCTGGGTCAGAGACTGTATTTGTTTATGTATTTTTTTGTAATGTGGCTTTATAACCATTTTAAAATGCAAACCCTCCTGATACTATGAGTGGTATGGGGCATGGTTAAGAAAAACTTAACAGGGGAACTTTTCAAAGAACACAGGCCTTCTCCTTTACCTGAGAGAAAATTATTATTATTATTATTTTGTTGTTGTTGTGGGTTGTAAGGTACTTCGAATCTTGCAAAGGATTAGTTTAAGAGGTAAAATAATTTAAACCATGTGCTGTCTATCTTTAGTACATACAATTTTAATCCCAACTTTTAAAAAGCTTTTAAGTTAAAATAAAAAGGACAGACTCACCTTTCTCTGGTAAATAGCAATCCAATCTGTTGTGGCAAACCACTTGTGAGTTTTTATATCACTCACACCATTCTTTAGATTTCCAAATCGCTTGGTCAAATCTACCTGGAGCAGGTTCCTGAGAAGGTCCTTGAGATCCGAACTGAAGTGGGATGGGAATCGGACCTGTGCAAATACAGCATTCATGAAGCACACTAAGGCTCACTACATTTGTTAAAGTGAAAAGATCATTCATCAAGCCAAAATACTTAGTGCTGATCTTCTCTATGCATTAAAGTGCCTACTGCAGTCTTAAAGAATGAGGATTAGTTGAATGAATAAACTCAAACTGATCCCAGGCCCTTGTTTTAGTCATGAACTCCCCTTAAGAACAGACCCATCCCTAAAAACTAAATCTAAATGTACATGTAAAGAACTTTCCCAACAGGACTAGATGTATCCATCTCCAAAGGAGATCCCCTGATTCAGTAACACTATACAACTTGAACTATACATCTTGTATGTGAGGATGGGAGGGAAAAACAGGGTAGAAAGCAAAGGGGTGATGGCCAAAAAGAAATATGCTCATTGCCTTGTGCTGGTGGTTCACACCTGTAATCCTAGCTACTCAGGAGGCTAAGATCTGAGGATCACAGTTCAAAGCCAGCCTGGACAGGAAAGTCTGTGAGATTCTTATTCCAATAAACTACCAAAAATCGGAAAGTAGAGATGTGGCTCAAGTGGAAGAGTGGTAGCCTAGAGCAAAAAAAGCTCAGAGACAGTGCTCTGAGTTCAAGCCCAAAGAGTTATATGCATATAATATATAATATATAGTATACATAATTATATAATATACATAATATGCCATTATGGTATATATTGCACACATGTGTATATAATATATATAACATAATGTATTTGTATATGTACATGTATACATATAATTCTATATGAATATATACATACATAATTCTTATATAATTCTCATATATAGTTCTTAAATGTATAATATATAATTCTTTATTTCAAATTGCAAATAAAATGATGAACTCAAGTTAGGCTGAATGATGAATATGTATGTGTGGGTGGATATGTCTTTTTTATTTTCAGAACAGTGATTCTCAAATAGGAAGTGGTGGTAGTTTGTGATGGCTGAAATCCGAGTCACAAGAACCTTTTCAAGATATACACATTTTCACAGTGCTCCATCACACCCTCCTCTGAGAGGGGGCATACATTCTCACAATGGCCCATGTTAATGGTATTTCTCATACCTTATATTGGAAGGGAAATAGTGAGTCATTGTGAGAATATTTTCATGGTTGTTTTAAAATGTAATATGAAATGTCATAAAGAGTCTCTAAAGAGCCATGTTGACTCACTAAACTGCAATAAGAAAAAACCAGGAAATATCTAAACAGAATTATATAAGACCTTTATTTATAGTACACTAACTTGGAGATACTAACAATTTATATGCTATTAAGAATTAATAACTTTTCCTTCAAAACTATATCTAGAAGAGTATTGTTTTTTATCATTATCAGTTATACCTATTATAGAATATGAACTCATAGACTATGAAGCACATATCACTAAACCTTCATATAAGGAAGGAACCTAAACTCCAGTGAGGCTACCAACTCTGAGGAATTGTTGGAAAATAACTGAATCTTCCTGACTTCTATATTTATGAGCTTTCTGGGAGGCTGTGTTAGAATAATGTTCGAGTAGGTAGTTGTAAAGGACCAGATATAGGAAGGAAAAACAGTTTCACTCCATTAAACCATTAATTTGAGAGCTAATGTTATTAGAAACTAGAATCACTTAACATGAAAAACGTGTTTGTTTAACACAAAAATTGTGCTTATGCAGGACAACAAACATTTCCTACAGTGCTTCTCTTGGTCTGTTTTCCCCAATTATATTTCCTGTTTAGGATTTTTTTCCCCCTGATCTTCAGTAGCCATGTTTCTGAATTTCCTAATGATCTATTGAGACTAAATCTGTTTCTCTAGGGAAGTGTAAATCTATAGAATAAACTGGCAATAAAGGGTATATACCAAAATTCTGTGATGTTTAAAATCTACAGAAGCCCTAGTGAATCAGTACTAATGAGGAAGGACACAGAAGACAGAGTCTACTTCATGAAGGCCGAAACACATCTGATTTATGATCTCTGCAGCATGCTCATGGTCTTGTACATAAGTTGGGCTTAACAAATAGTTAATGAATACATGAATACAAATTCAGTTTGAATCCTACCATGACCTAGGCAATGATGTTCTTGGGATATTCATAAATAAAGAACATGAAGATCCCAGCTTTCTCAGTGTTTTCTTTCTACTGAGAAAGAGAAAATGGGGAATCAATGTAAAGTTTTGTTTTTGGTGCTGGGGATTGAACCTAGGGCCCCAAGCATGTTAAGCATGTGCTACGCCACTCAGCTAACACTCCAACTCCCCAAGTATAAAGCTTTAAAAGGAGTAACAGGAGACTCATGATTGTGGTAGCAGTGGAGGTTATAAACAGTGGCTGAATTCTATACATATCCTAAAAGTTGAGGCAAAACAGTTCTTCTGTGAATCAGATATGGGTGAGGACGCCAGTATTTTTTGACCTGATCAGTTAAAAGGATGGAATTGCTACCACTTGAGGTTGACTAAGGGTGAATGTAATAGTTTTTTTTTAAGTTTCCAAAATTTTATTTCCTTAACATTGAAAGTTCACATTCTCTTGAGAGAAGTTGTTAAGTTATAGCCACAAAATGGGCAGCATCTCAAAGCTTGCTTTCCTTCTTTTTTTTTTTTTTTTTGCTATGTACAAAACTGCAAACATAGTTATTTGGGCCATCCTTTACCTCTAGCACAAAGTAAGCTTATTTTGTGTGTGAGAAGTTTCCTATGTCCATGTATCTAATGACCCAGCTCTGTGTGAATTTTATACCTTCTTCCCAGTTTTCAATGTATAATGTTAAAATCCTAGGGTCATATTTAAGAGTAAAAGAATTAGAAGCTTATTAATAGTGCAAAACCAGTATGTCTTAGTCTGACAACAGTTAAAAACTAAATTAAGGGCAAATAAGTATGTTAAGTTTTAGAAAGTCTGTATATTTAACATACGTATTAGACATCCTAGAAAAGATAGTAAGTAGAAAATTGAAAACAGAAGTTAGGTATGAATTGCAAAAAATCAATTTGAAAATTGTGAGCTGTCATTTAAAGATGAGGCTGGATGAGACTACTAATAGAAAAAGTAGATCAGCCAATGAGATTGACAAGGAAATGGAAGTAATGCAGGAAAAAAACCAGGACTGTGAACTGAAGCCAAGTAAAAGGATAATGAAGGAACCAGTGAACTATTTCTTGCTTTGTGAAGGAGTTAAATAAAATGAATTTGAATATCTTTGCACCTCAAAAATGATTATCAAGCTCTTTCTTTTATGGCTTTTCTCCCAACCCCTCCCTCATGAGTCTTTATCCTCTCTTTTCTTTCTATCTCAGGAGACATGCCTATGTTGCTAAGCTGACCTCAAACAGCAGGTTCAAGAGATCCACCTACCTTAGCTTCTCAAGTAGCCAGGATTACAGTGGCTAGGCTTCTTTAGAAGAAAGAATTCCTGGCTTTCAGTCTCAACTTTAATTACATACATGATCTGCGATCTAAGAAAAGCCCTTATACCTTTCAGAGTCTCAGTTTACTCAACTCTAAAATGATGTTAGTATGTTCTGTCCAGCAGGTAGGAAAACAAATTAGGTTAATGGCTATGAAACTGGTTTGTATTATCATACCTATTGTCTTGCTGGTACTAATTCAAATTATTTTTATTTTTTTCAACCTTCCCATGAGATTATTGTAATGATCCAAAACAGAATTTTTGAACTGAGGAAGATACTTGGATGACAGCAAGGCTGTAATCTATGTTTATATTTATTTCCAAAATACTCAGAGACAGTCTGCATTAGAAGTGTCACTTGGAATATATAGGAAGCTTCACTTTTCTAGTTGGATCATTTCCAACCTGTTAATTTACTGAATAAATTATTTTAATTTTTTCTTAAGGTCTTAAGTTTGATAGAGGAAAGGAGAAAATGGATAATGGATAACTATAATGTTATTTTGTAAGGACTACATTGTGAATACAGCTGTTATCTTAAAATACTTTGTCAGATTGCATTATGTAATATGCAACTTACTCAGAAATAAGCAAACCAAACAGAATATTTCTCCTGCTTTTTGAATCAATTACAAGGTCTTATACGTTTCAGTTTTATGCCATTTTATTATTTATAAATTTAAAAGAAAGTTACATCCAAAAAAATCAAACCAATTCATGCTGTTATGGTATCCATGACTTAAACTCATTAACTAGTTTTACTGACTTTTTTCTTTTAGAAATGCAGTAAGACCAAATCAAATATTTTTACACTGAGTTTAATTATAGAAATTATAAAGTCAATCTTTGTCGGATAGAAGACAAAACTCTTGCTGCTGTTCTATAATTATTGATGGGGAAAAAGATTGTGTAACTATTATAATTATCTTTCATGCATTTAGGACAAATTATGCTAGGCTTAAATAGTTAAGGGTTTATACAAGCAATAATCGATTAACTTATTTTTATTTATACTTTGTGCTGTTACTGGCACTTAAATACTGGGTTTTTTTTTTTTTTTTTTGTTGGTCGTGGGGGCTGAACTGTGGGGCTGGGGCTGTTCCTTAGCTCTTCAGCTCAAGGCTAGTGCTCTACCACTTGAGCCATAGCCCCACTTCTGGCTTTTTTCTGCTTATGTGGTGCTGAGGAATCGAACCCAGGGCCTCATGCATGCAAGGCAAGCACTCTACCACTGAGCCACCTTCCCAGCTCCCTAAAAAAGTTCTTTTTTTTTTTTCTATTTTGCTGTTTTTTTATTGTACTTATAATGTCCTATGTGATTTTTTAAATTTTATTTGTGAAGATACTGTACAGAGGGGTTACAATTACATGGGCAGGATAATGCGTACATTTCTTACCAAGCATTGCAGCCTCCTCCTTTTGTTTACCCTTCACATCCCTTCCCAGTCTCCCCCCTCCCCCCCAACCTAAAAAAGTTCTTAAAGATCTGTAATAATAACAAACGGTCTATATAGCAAATTAGTAAAAAAAAAAATGCTGGTATTGAAACTTGAACTCAGGACTTGGGTGC